TACCCAGGCCCTTTAGTAATTAATAGCTTTCAGAGATCTGGGTGAACTAGGCGCGCGGGGATTCTTGGGGAGGTTGCGGCAAGGAAGGGAAAAGCCTGGGAGATGTTGACCGATATCTGAATAATCTCGACCAATTTCTGAAGAATCGAAGATATTGCAAAGTTTTAGCTGCTTTTCTCGAATTTTTTTATTTGGCATTCGTCATTGCTGATTCTATGGATAGTATAGACGAATATTTTTAGGAAGAACCGCCTGGAGGTAAGTTTAATTAGTTTATTGTTATATTTTGCCGTGGAATGTATAAATAATTCGCTTTGTTGTCGTTGTATTAGACCGTCATGTACTCATGGGTATGTTAAAGTTATAAAATTAGCTCAAAAATGTGTTTTTTGTTTGCAGAATTATCTGATGACGAGCTTAACACATCGTTTCAACAACTTGATGTTGATGATATTAAATGTTAATACATACCTGTTTATATATAGATATATTAGATCATAATGTACATTTCATCATCCTCATGTACTAATTGCATCGTTATATTTATAAAGAATCTTAATTATAATTATAAACTTAAAAAGAGGTAAGAATATTTAATTATTTGATATATTTCAGAATGTTTTAAGGATATTTGAATGTAACAAATTTGCAAAATGTGATGATGACATACCAACTACACCTCCACATTCTCCACAAGATTACCATTGCCATGAAAGGACAATTTGTACTCGAGCAGAGAAACATGCACTAACACCTGAGTCAAAAGCTGCTGCCAAGTCGAAACCCAAACGATTCGCAGGTCTGTTAATTTATGTACATGACAGTACTTTATTTGTCAATATATCTTTCAAACAAATAGATACATAGACCATTTTCATAATTTAGACAAATTTAAATATTCTTTTATCTATAGCCTTCTTGGCCTTGTTCAGATTCAGAAGTTCTTCACAATTACAGCCCTAGAAACGAGGCCAAGAGAGCTCATTAAGATGACATAAAAGAATATTTAAACTGGTCTCAATTATGAAAGTGCTCTATGGCACAGTATTACTGTTGATTTCAAATAATCTTTCACTGGAATATTTCGAACTTTGCAACTTTGTTGTGAAGTTCAAAAGTTCATAATAAAGTTTATGAGCAAATTTGTAAACAAAACATCAGATTGGCTACTAGAGACATAGTAGCCTTGCAATCAAATGCTTAGTTTACCAACAGGTTTGTGAATCACATTATGAACTTTTGAACTTCAGAATGAATTTGCACACTTCAAAACAAAGTCCAGAACATTTTAGTGAAAAATATTTAAAATTTACTTATTTTACTCTGTCTAATGCCAGATGATTTTTTCTCAAGGGATGGTTCTTATGCCTTAATGGGGTTAATTGTATACAGATGGGTTTGATATATTCCCCCATATCAGATGCATGATTGTATGGTTATAATGTATTACTGGTTATAATATATTAATTTTCCCCGGGCCAACGGCGCGGAGCGCCGTTCCGGGCGCAAGCCCTGGGCGAGGGTACTAATTCCGCCCGGCTATTTACACCCGGGGAAACGAAAGCATTGGCGAAGTCTAAAGTTTATCAATGATTGCGGGCGTGAGTCACCAACGGTGTTGAGTGGGTAGTCATCCTCACTGATCTCAAAATATATGGAGGACTGTCATGAATAGCGAACACTGATTGGTCAAATTTAAAATTTGTTGTTGTATGACAAATGACAAATGACGACAGCGAAATAACGAACATTTCTTGCAAATCAGCAAATATATTGTATTTTTGCAAGATTTTGCAAATTTCAAAACCTTTTTGAGAGCCAAAAAGCGTCTAAAAACGTCTAGAAGAACGGGGCAAAGTCGCTGATGGTAATGAAGGTAAGTTTGTTTTTAATATAATATATTGTTTGCTTTATAATTGCTATAAAAACTGATACGATGGTTGCGCATATATAAAGTGAATAAGACAGCATATAATGTAAGTGTATTTTTATTAATTATCCTTTTTTGTATATTAAAATATTTAAATAAAGAGGAAAGCAAAGTTATTTTCATGCAAGAGTTTGAAATCAGTTTACTTCAATTTTCAAACTCAATGTTACCGATAAAAGGCAGTTCAGTTTAAGCCCATTTTGAAACGTTTTGCGAAGCGTTTGTGGTTGAATTTTACATTATAATTGAAGCTTATATTACGTATAATAACATACCTAGCATATATTGGTTTGGGAAATTGATCATTTTGTGATATTTGGGGGGGATTTTTCAATTTTAAAACTATTCTTAAAATTATCGTGTTATCATGACAATACTTTACGTTTGGGAAACATAATTCTTTTGTCAGCAATGCAAGGGTTTCTGCTTGCATGTATTTTCTAGTTACGAATTAAATCAGTCTTCTTCAATTGTATCTTACAGCATATAACCTGTCCAGTCACCAGCTGCAGTGTAATGAAAAGAGGCAAGTATTGTCATTGTTGATGGATATGCTTAACCTGGAACCTATGGAAAAGAGCCTCCTCACCAGAACTGTTAAAGTGACTTTTCCAAATAGAACCAAGCAGATCATCATGGTTGCAGGGCCGTTTTGGGTATTACGACAGGGTGGGGTGTGAACTTGTTTTGCCGGACCAAAAGGGTGTGGCACAATTCGTGCCCGACGGACATTTCAGTCGCTAATGAATATTTATTTTCCCAAAGTTGTTGGGGCGGGGGATGTTCGGACATGCCATTTTTCACTAACATATCGAAATTTGTACAAATTTTCAGTAATATTTTCGTAATGTTTTGCTGAATTACATTTTTTTGCCTGACAAGAGTGCATCCCCCCAGGAGTTACGCCCCTGCATGGTTGACCGTAAATCATTGTATCCTATTGTATGATTAAATAATTAGTTTTGATGCTGTTTGTTTCGTGTGCACTTCTTTTTGTGTGCACTTCTAATATCCAATATCAAATTGGGCCAAAATACTGTTGCAAGTGTGCTGATAGTTCTTAGGCTCTGCATGTAGGATGTTTTATATCTATGTGTTATTTCAACTTCTTTCAACATGCTTCCAACAAAAAAATTGATGTAAACAACATTGTTTCTTTACATTATAAATTATATTTTATATCATAAAATTTGTGCCAATGTAATGCATGTCATATTTTATAAGATTTATTTATAGGCTATATGTACAAAATAATATTGTTTTTGACATTCACCACAGAGTTGTTTAATAAGAATCTTCTAATAAAATCATATGGTAGAAATCCTATGGTATCTAACGAATTATTTAAAGATGATACTGACAAAGACATCTTAGTGACACAAGATCAGATTAAAAACATGGAAAAATGCTTCAGCAGTGGATGCTAGTAGGCTAATATGGATTTAGGTAGAACACTTTTAGCTAAACACTGTTTAAACTTTCAACATTACTTCAAATTCCATGCAGCGTTGGTTACTTTGTATCAACACAAAATTCAAAAGCTTCAAGTTAGTCAGGGAGATGGTAGAATAAATTTGTCTCAAAAAGAACAAATTGCAAAAGAAATGAAATTCCTACGATGTCGATATCCAAATATCTTTTTAATACAATCACGTGTTTCTTGCCGTGAAGTTGCCTGGATATTCATACAGATTCGATCTTTTCTGTCAGACATGGAGAAGTCTTCCTTCAATAATATGTTTAATACGAAAATGAATAAATGAATAAACAATGCCATTATCGTGAAAAAAGCCCTTTGGGCAATGCAATCGTCTTTTGCGCATAGGATCTTCCCCAAACGAATCATTTCATGGACAAGTCTTTCAATCTCATGTAACACATCACTGACTTCGTCCATATTACAGTAAATTAAATTACATTCAAACTTGCATTGTCGCGGGCCACCTTCAATTTAAAATCTCCCAGGCTCTGTCTTTGCCACAACCTCCCCAAGATTCCCTGCGCGCCTAAAAGCTCGCCCAGGGCTCTGAACGCTATTAACTACTAAAGAACCTGGGTACGAGGCTGTTATACGTACACCTTCGGGACCTCGCCTAAGTGTCCGCTTAAAAGGGGTGTCCGCTTAAAAGAGATTTGCAGAAAGACACACCAGGAGGCAAATTTGGGTGTGTAATTTGAGTATCAAAACAGTAAAAAATATCTAGCAAATAATTAGCATAAAAGTTAATTTCAAAACCGTTCTTTGTGCATAAAAGTTCATTAGAAAATGTGTACGTCTCTCACAGTCATAAAAAAAGGAATCAATACAAGTTTGCTTTCGAGGCTCACGCAGACGATAGTCCATTAGAACGTCATTTACATTAAAAATGGCGTTGGAAAGTTCTTCCAAATTCTGTCAACTGCTCGACAACTTTAGGGCTTCGGAGGAAGATTTAATGACTGGTTCGATAAGAGACCGGTCAAATTCATCATCTTCGTTCAGGTCGTTGTCATCATCAGTGATCTCACACATATCTTTCGACTCCTTGGCTGGTGGTTCACAGTCCTTGTTCGTCACTTCCTCGATAATTTTGGCTATGATGTCTTCGCGCCAAGTTGGTGTGTCAATGTGCCATGTAAATTGTCTGAATTGTTATTTATTGAATACATTTTATCAGACAATCTGTCATCTGTCATCTATCAGCTTAAGAAAAGTTGATTTGCCCATTGGGACCTCAAGTAAGGTGTCCGCGTCTGTTAAAGAGGGTGCCGGCTTAATAGTAGTTATTATAATAGTATTTTATTAAAGAAAACGAATGGGACCGGAGATATGTGTCCGCTTAAAAGAGGTGTCCGCTTATAGGGGTTCAACTGTAAATAGTAAATGTATGTAATAATTACATGTAACGGTTATAATTAGTATTATAAATTAACTCAATACTGTAAAATTATTCATTTTGTAAAGAGAATACGAAGCGGGGAAGAAAAACGAAAATTTTACAAAGGAATTTTAACTCAAACGTGAATTTAACTTAATTAAGGCAGTGGAAATCATGTTCACTCCTAATTTGATCTCAAACTGATACACTACCTCTAAACAAATGCAACATTCATCATGTGCAGAGCCAGCGCGACATTTGTGATTTCCACGAAGTTGGACGTCCAAACACACACCGCAGACATCGCAATGAAATGAACGATCTCCGTGAATTCTAAAATAAAAATTTTGAGCACACGCCAGTTAAGAAAATCAAAGCAAACCAGTATTTGACTTTTTGAAATGATGGAATTGCGATGTGTTGATAAGATTATCCACAAATTCTCGTTAAAACAATTGACCTCCTCCGTGGGTTCGTAGGCTATCAAGCTACACAACTGTTTCAGCATGCGCGGTATTCAATAGTTGTATCAACAGTTGTATAATCTATCTCACCTGCAAATACCGCACTTTTCACAATGGTAAGGATTGTCATCAGTGCCTGTCAGGTGCTTACATTGACCACAAAAATATCTCGCAAATTTCGCGTTACATCTTGAACAGTGATGTGCAAACTGAAATTAAGAATTGAAAGAACATTTGGTTCGATTGACACAATAGTTGAAACTATGATAGGTCATTTTTGAACTACGGTCAAATCAGTGGTGGATACTAGAGGGCGGGGGCTGGCAGGATGAGGAAATAAGGTATTATGAGGCCCTGTTAGGATACATTTTGTGACATTGCCTTGAAATGACGACATATAGAACATGAAATAGCAACATTGGACACAAACTTTGTCTAAATTGTGACAATGACATGGAAAAGAAAAAAGGACAATGCATCCGACGAGAAACATGCATACCAAACCTAACAGGGTCCTATATTTTTGACTGGTTCCCATGCATATTACTAATGATTTCAAAATAATTAAGATTTAAAAGATTTCCACAAGATTGAAGATTTGGATAAGATAAGGATTATATACCGGGTGTGCCAAAAAAAACTTGCGGTGTTTGATTTTATGTAAGGTAAAAACTATAAAAGCTATTACACTCAAATAAGTTTTATTGTATTGAGGAAAGGCTTACTTAGATTTTGATATACAGCCCTAAAAATATCATGTAATATTACTTGAGATACAAACGTTTGAATGTGGTGCACGCTTTAAAAATGAGTAAAAAAATCGAGAAACATGGCTGATCAAATTTATATGAAAACAAATTGCCATTTTCCTCAAAAATTAACAATTTCAATTTCAGCATTTCAACTCAACTTTAATTTCGGGTAATGTCCTAGAATAAGTTAACCTTTCGTGTTTCTTGGGAAGCGAAATAAGCATGAAAAATTTAAAAACGTTCGAAAGCATATTTGACGTCCTTTGAGAGGTCCTCGTTAATTCGCCATTCGAATACGCTTCGATTAACAAAAGATCAAAGAGTTTGGCTTTTATGTTTTCCCGTGCAAGACATTGTATATGTACGTGCAAGGGGACATACTTTCTATGATAAATGAATAAATGTTTGTCCAACAATTATGTTTTACATTCGTTCTTTTGGCCACAATAAAACTATGTAATCAAGTTTAACCAAATAATATTTGATTGGCAATTTTATGCAAATATTTAACATTGTTAAATATGCTTATTCGATTTAAAACATCGATAGCTCAGTAAATATTGCACGGATATTCAAATGTTATATATCAAAATCTAAGTTAGCCCTTTCTAAATGCAATAAAACTTAATTGAGCGCAATAGCTTTTACAGTTTTTATGTTACATTAAATCAAACAGCGCAAGTTTTTTGGGGGACACCCGGTATATATAGCAGTAAAATTTATAGTAGGATTACTGGATAAAATGAAGTTTAGGGTACGGATTACGACGGCTTAGTTTATTGAGTTTCTTATTCATTGACGAGCGATTTTCCCGACAGGCTATTGCCTATTTTATACAGGATCCGAGGTACCTACTATAATTTAACGTCCTTATCCGAGAAGTTATTTAAAAACCTTGAGTAGAGGTGCGATCAAGAATTGAACTCGAGTCTCCCAGATTGAAAGGCAGGCGCGGTGATAACACCACCAAATGTACTTGATGTACAACACCACCAAATCTTAATCCAGTCGCTCTCCGCCCACAGTGAAGTTTTTATTTACTATAGAATCAAAATATTGCAGTGGAATTCACCACAAACTGCTAAATATATTATGAACAATAGTAAAATCTAACGAGCGCTAACAAATCAAAAGCCAAATTAAATATTTCATTGTCTGACAAACAAATTAGGCGAAAAGCCGAATTTTAGCCTTTTCACATGCGACCCTGTTTTCCCTTTCATCCACCCGCATTTAAGTAAGGAAAGATATGGCCTGATACTCAGGCTAGGATTAAGGAAACATTAAGGGTAGTATAAGACTCCAATAATATTAGCGCAAAGTTGTTTTCCATTCCAATCGTATGGTGAGGAAAGGAGAGAACTAATGACTGGAACACAAAAGAAAGCTGTATGTTACGTTAAAATAGTTTTCTTGCTGAAATAGGTTTTTCGTGTAAGGTAACAATAAGAATAACGAATGTTGGAAATTATTTCTTAATTGTCCGCATACCGGTTGTTCTTGACCACAAGCAAAACACTTGATCTGTTTCGTGTCACGTGATTTAAGCTTTCTCCTGCCACACGTGCTTTGGTTGTTATGGCAACGATGACATGGCCAAAACTTGTTGCAACATTCAAATTTCACGTAACAACGTCGTTTGTAATGACTGCATAACCATTGGCCGTCCTCATCCGCATCAGGTGGTTGGAATTTTGACAATTTGTGTCCAATGCTGCCACGTGAAGTACTAATTTGATCGCCGCGTACTGTTCGACTGCTGGCCTGAACTGTGGGCGACAAAATTCACAGATAAATAAATACACTACGGTGATCTAACAGTAGACATTATATCAGTGATACACTAAAAATATATAAACATCCAGTTGAATCTAACCCAACTGACGAAGGATGTAAACATCGCTTTAGATAAGTATGACAACACCGGTTTCCAATAACCACGCACAGTGGCCTAATTTGCGGGTGTCCGCGTGTCCATTAAAGGCCACCACCACGCTCGGGGGCCTCCGACAAAAATAACAATAAAATTTGTGCTAATACATTGGGCAAATTGCCCCGAGCTTCAGTTATAGAAGGCCCAAATATTTGCAACGGGTGTCCCCTAAAAGAAGGAATTGGTAAAATGTGAAATCGAGACTCCTTTTTTACAGACATGGATGGGGAAACATTTTTCGTACTTTTTTTAACTTGTCATAGACCTTTCTTTAATGAATATGTTTCGAAAAATTGTTTTCTCGCTCCCCTGACCCCTCCAGCCAACTTTTTGGGAAAAATTAGAGCCCCCACTTAAAAATTTGAAGGGGAGCCTCCGGAGGTTGCGTTACGCCACTGATCACAGTGTTCATCAGTGAACACAGTGTTCAGACATAGTGTTCAGTGTTCACATTCAGTGTTCACATTCAGTGTTCTGACACAGTGTTCATCACTGAACCCCAAAGTTTGAAGACATTAACAATTATTTAACCTACCTTCACCGTGCTCGCGTCTTCCACCATCAGTGACTACCAAACCTTGGGAAGTATTACTACTGTTACTTGCAGTTTCCTTGCCACAACTAGATGAAGTCACAGGATGACGACTGCGTGTATTCGAGCCGGGGCCATTTCGAGCAACAGATCGCTGGGTATGTTGTGTAGAACTTGATATACCCCCAGTATTTCCTCCAATATCCCTCGAGTTTACTTGTGATAATCCATGAAATATCCCTTGATAACCATGTGCATTATCCCGTAACTCGTTTGCTGGACCACGTGATAACCCTGTGAAAGACCCTCTTGTTGTTGAACGTGATGACCGTTGTGCAGATGGTGAATGACCAAACCTCTGAGAAGTCAATCCATTCTGCGCGTTTGATCCTAGATTAAATGATCCAAATCCTTCATTGGGCTTGACACTCTTTAGCTGTGAGTACTCTCCAAGAAGATAATAATCAATAAGATGTACAAAATCATATCTTAAGTTATCCTCAAAGAATTTTTTCAGTCGACTCAAATTAGTAATACTGATGATTTTCTTACGATCTAGTTCGAAGAAAATTGCGCTCACACTTCCAGAAACATCGATTTCAAATTCAGTGTCCACCCATTGTTTTAATTTGAGGACATCCTCCTTCAGGAGATTGTGAGATATTCGCAGTAACAAGAGTTTATAGTTATTATGGATATTTCCATCTACAGCAGTATGTGGCATATCAGTTAGACTTGCGGTTTCGTTAAGTGACTCTTGCCCATAATGACTTTCAACTTGATTATTTCTCACCTCTGTCGTTTGATCACTCGATATCCTTGCATCTAAGGATGCATTCGACCATTCTGAAATCCCTGACGTCTGAGTGGAAGCTGATTGAAACTTGTACGTTTTATTAAATAGCTCATCTCTTTTCTTTGCATTCTGTATTCTGGTTAATTCCACATTTAAACGGCCAATTTCTAAAAACATTTCCTCTTTCTCATCTTCTTTTTCAGAAATTATCACCGCCATCTTTTTGTTCTGATCAATCAACTTATTTATTTTAGGCTGCAAAACTGTTCTTTGACCTTCGAAGGCATAGGTCAGTGTCTCAATTGATTTCTTAATCGTTTCATTTTCCGCTTTCAAACGTTCAACTTCCGAGCTTTCATTCTGTAAGCTTTGACAAGAGAGTGAATTGAAAGGAAGCCAATGATGTTCAAATTGAAATTGAAACTGTGACTTTTGACTAATATTGCATGCTGAAATATAAGTTTGATCAAGTTGCTGATGTAGTACATCAGAAGGTATGTTGTGATAATAGTAATAATCAGTTGTAAATATATCATTTCGTGGAAATAAAGGATATTCGTCAGGATTTTGTTCTCTAGTTGTTTCTTCAGTTTGACGTTTTTCTCCTATGTTTCCCGACAGTTTTTCAGGCTTGTTCAGTATACACAAACAAAATTCTTCGATTATAAGACTGATCATTTTTGATACAGTTTTGACATGAGATGATTTTAAAGTGGAATATCTGGAATGTTCATCGAACTCTGTGTGGTCTCGGGGGAAGATATGTAATAGTACTGGCGCTGGATGAGTGACTACAAAACTGAGGTGACCATTGTCCAGTTTTTGTACTTTAATTTCCCGAGACCAGTTAGAGATTAGATGTCGAAGAAATGCTTTAAATCTTTCAAATTCACTTGGTGACACAGGACAAAGTGCTATTGTTACAAAGTTAAGGTTGTTAAAATCTTGTATACGGATATTCCATATGGTAAGATCATTTTCATACAGTTGGATAATATTGGGTAAATCCCATAATTTGAATACTTTTATAACATGGTAAAGTGTAAACTGTGCTCGTCGTTCTTCTCTTAGTTCTCTACCGCTTTTTGAAATACGATTTGTAATCGTTTTGCCATAATTATAAAGACCGTCAAAGCATAGATTCGCTAAGGTTTTAACCATCTCGTTCATATCACGTCATAGATGAAACTACAGAAAAAAAACTGCAACTTAGACATTTGAAATCATGAAAATATCTAATAAAATAAAAATATTTTTTGTCAGGCCGTCGGAAGTAAATCAGTATTGGAGGAGGGGGGTTGCGGCTCAAGAATAAATTTGAATAAATCTGGTCATGAATTGCTTTTCCACTTTTCTAGTTCTTTTGTGTGTTTTGCTTATACAAATGGAAATTATAGGGGAAGCCCCGCCCCCCCCCAGTCTTCGACAGCCTTGTTTTTGTATGACACTGATATTGTCCGGTGTCCATTATTACTCCAGTTCTTTTAAAAAGTCCTTTCAACTCCGAGATTATCAGCTTGTTCGAAGGCTATGATGCACTTAACCTTTCATCCGCGATTAATGTCCGAAAGAATCATCAAACTTCAGAAAATAAAAGATTACGTTTTGTGGTAAGCCTTGTGGTAACCTAAACTCTATATTCCCCAAAGAAATATCTTTACCCTGGAATCAATAAATGTGTGTCCTTTTCCTCGGTCTGGATCTGGATTTGCGTAATTTGTTTTTCACCATTTGACGGAATTTTAATTCTATGTGGAGCGGAATTTTTCTTTCCGCCTAGTACTGTACTAGTGGAGAACATTAATGGCGCTACTCGCACTTGTGGATAAGAAATTCGATATTATTGAAACCGTCCGAGACAATTGACTTAATTAAACAATACAAAATACACTGACACACGCAAATATTCTTTCCCTCCAAAAGAGTTTTTTCATGATAAACTCGTTGATACTCAAAGTTTTCGTTCTTTCACCACCCTGTCACACTGCATTTTGTGTAGAAAGTTCAATGTCAGGTTGCATTTTTGTGTGTAGAAATTACACTGACACACGCAAATATTCTTTCCTTCCAAAAGAGTTTTTTCATGATAAACTCGTTGATACTCAAAGTTTTCGTTCTTTCAACACCCTGTCACACTGCATTTTGTGTAGAAAGTTCAATGTCAGGTTGCATTTTTGTGTGTAGAAATTAAAGTTCAAACGTTCGGAACAATAGGGGACAAATATATATATGTTATTTTTCACCCTGCTCGGTTTCCTTTGTTCTTGTCGGGGAATATATTCAATATTCCACTCTAGTCAATTTCCGTTTAATAATCCCCTCTAATATTCACCTGCAATTAATAATCCCCTCTAATATTAACCTGCAATGTCTTTGCAGCACAAAAAATGAGAAAAAAACAGCATAACGAAGGAATATGGCATTAGGAATTATTTCTATTCTGTCTCATTAACGCGACCTCGCAGTGTGAAAAATAACTACGTTATTTTGAGGCACCTCGGGGATATGTGTTTATTCACCTCGGCGCTGCGCGCCTCGGTGAATAAATCACATATCCCCTCGTTGCCTCAAAATAACCTATACTTATTTACCGGATTGGAGGTCCGTATAGAGAAATATTTCTCGAGGTCTTAAAAACGGCCCGAGGCCGAAGGCCGAGGGACGTTTTTAAGAACGAGAGAAATATTTCTCTATACGGACCGACCATACCGGTAAATAATATTTTTATTTTTTTTAATTCCTCCTCTGGATTACCCCAATCACTCCTCCCGCACGCGAATGAAGCTGCCAAATAATACGTCGTTTCTATCAATGCTATCGGGGAGAGTAAATCTTTTGTGAGATAGTAAAGTTCGCTTTCACTGTGTTCTTCATCGTCTGCAGACATTTTATTATTTTAAAAAGTAGCCTTTAAAGTTTAAACTCGTCTTTAAATTTTGAAAAATAAAAACATTGGCTCTACGGCTTTAAATCTCGCGCGGTCCGTACGGGCTCATACGGACCGCTCACGTAGCCAATCAGATTGCAGAAAAGCGTAAAATATGACTACGGACCGCAAGAAAAAAAAATAAATTATAATATCTCGTTGCGGGAAGAAAACGGAATAACTTTTCTTCTTTATTGCATGCATAATTAAACCTGCTATTAGAAGAAGTTCGTATTCCAAAGAAGACGATGCTTTTACTATTGTCTTTAGATCTCGGAAAACAGAGATGCTCATTCAACGATGCAGCTATACAATATTTCCCTGGAGACATAACAACAAGAGCTTTACGGTTTATTACATTAACATATGTGGGTCAACCGTTTTTGAGAATTGAAATTTGTGGTGCAACATTAATTTGTTCTTTGTTAGTATATTCAAATATCTCTTGTATTTTCTGTCTTTAAATTGCCTATGCAACGAAATTTTCACCACATTTTTTATTGTTTATCTAAAAAGTACTGCTGGAGTGATCAAGAATGACGTTTACAGTTTCATCATATCTCATCTCATTCTCTAGTTATCGCACTTTCTATATTTTGAGTTGTGACGTCACAAGTATGAGTTGAGATA